AATGGACGTAACTGAGTGCTGTAAACCAATGCAAAGTAATCTGAACGGCCACAGGCCACTTGGTGGCGTTAGCTTTTCAGTCAACCAAACTCAGCACGTAGTCAAGCAAACATCGACCCTTCGTGACTCCCGAAGCAGAGGAGACTCAAGAAAAGAAAGCTGTTTAGCAGGGATCCATGGACGAGGAATTACACCAAATAGAGTTACAAATACATTCAATGTTGCCGTACATCTGTTCAGTAATAGATCACAGATGACGTCAAAATATGCTAGGCAAAACAAATGCTATGGGCACATCGCAGGAAGCTCCTAAGACTGATAATAGCAAAATCTATGATAACAAAAATCATTAAGAATTGGTAATCTAATTATGGTTCCCTCACCGATGTTTTGGACGATGATGTATGCATGTTCGACTGCGTAACCAAAAGCATTTCCCACAATGCAAGAGTACTTTCCTTCTTCCTTCTTTGTGACATTCAGCAAAGTCAACTTCACACCGTAGATTTTAAACTTTTTGCCGTTTCTTGGTGGCACAATTACAAGTTCGTCTGTTAAATCTTCATTCAAGATTTCGTAGTGTGGACTCTCGATAGAATCGTCTGCTGAACTGTTGACCGAACCGTTGGTACGCTTGAGAAACAACCTTAACCACTGGAAATGAGGCACGGAATCACTTAATGCTTTGCACGTTAAGCTGGCATTTTCTCCTCTATTAACAGTGACATTTTCCATGGGTAGAACCACTGGTTCAGCACGAGATCGTTCTAAAAAAGTTACAAAGAGAACACTGTCAATGTAATGCAAAAACATCCATCGTTTCGTTACTTGCAATGTTAATTTCAATTTGGCTTTTTAGAAGGGGTTAACATTGGTTTTTGTGCCTACCATGTACGTCCACTTTGTATGTATGATTAATCCACCCGTATAAGTTGCTCACATTACACATGTATGACCCAGTGTCAGAGGGAACCAAGTCCTTCAGACTCAACGAGGTTGTCCATTGACTCAGAGAGAGTTTCCTGCCACCTTTCCTTTCCTTAAACAATTTTCCGTCTTTGTACCATTCTACTGTAGGACGAGGGTTTCCATCGGCAGAACAATCCAGCTTTACAGAATTGCCAACGGGTGCCGCAAGAAAGTTGCGCCTCATCTTGTATTGCGGCACCGTGAATTTTGGAGCAGCTGTGATCTTCTCTTTTAATCTTCTAGCTAGATTAAGGTATTTTAAAACCAAAAAAACAAAACAAAAAACAAAAGAAGAAGAGGAAAGGATTCGCTTTAGGATTCGCTGTTCGATGATTAGTCATACTTGCTGTTGCATTTTCATTGAGGTCTAAGAAGATGGAGTCAATCCAGTCATTTAGAGCTATGACTTTATCTTGGCAAATGATAGGCTATTAGAAAGGTTCGATTTTATCCATACAGTACTCTTTGGAAATATATACCACACAGGAGATCGAGATTTCACAGGGGAAGGGTTACCAACAAGAGTAATTTAGGTCACAGAACTTCCTCTCATTTCCTCTTAGTACCAATCAATATAACTTAGTTGAACTTATTTGACGAGCTGGAACCAGCTCACTTCCTAAATGAAATTGTTTTACTTGCTCTTCGTTAGATTATATATCACTAAGAAGTGTATCTCTTCAAGTTCCTGGCTTGGGGGTCCTGGTATTGCTCTCGGCTAACAAGTTGATGTTTTTGGGTAAACAATGATAAATTCTGTTTTGTTTTCCTCTCAACCTTCTCGATAGAAGTAGGTAATCGGCTCTTCCGTTTCTTTTATTGTCTTGTTTTGTGAATAAGGCGGAATATCTTGGTCAGACCGTTTTATTGAGGGTCTAATCGGGAGTTTGGGATCTAACCTCATACCAACCCATGTAAAGTTTAGGTCGGATGCGATCCACAGTATAGAACTTAATAATACGTGTAACATGCGTGGTAGCGTTTTTACTATTAATTTATTTCTAGTTTAGTTTATAAGCTTTGTGTTTGTACGTGTGCGCTGGGTGAACTGCACTGAAGGAAGGAAGGAGGGGTTGGAGGGGGGGAGGGGGGAAGGGAGGGTAATCCGACCATCCATCCCCGTCCTTGAAATGCCTCTCCTGATTCATCTCTAAAATCCACACTAATCGAAATTTATCGCGATATTACCGCTGGGAAGAGGTACCGCTAATCCTACTAAAATTACTAATTAATTTGTTTTGACTAACTGCTAGCTCTTTAGGCAAGCAAAGGCGGAAACAAATACTGGGAAACCGATGGAAATGCTATTAGCTTTTTCTCGTGTAATCGCCTAAAATTACCATGGGACAGAAAATGAAGTAACCGTTACGATTTAAGGCTCTGACGCATCTTAGCTGACTGCACCACTTTCTATCACCAATACTAGCATTTTTTTACACTGACTACAGGTTACATTTCAGAACATAAGTTGTGAAGTTAACATACTTCCATAAACAACGGTAATCTGCATTGTATGATTTTTTTTTCCGTAGTCGTTTACTGCAATACAGGTAGCTATCAACTAAATCTTTGACAATTCATGTAAAAAAATAACTTATGAAGTTGTGAAGTTTACATACCTCCGACAAAGAGCTGCATTGTATAACGATTTTTGCCGCAGTCGTTCACAACAACACAGGTGTAAAAGCCGGCGTCCTCTTTCTTCACCCGTCTTATCTTTAGGTATCTGTAGGGTCTTAAACGCATTCCTTGATGATCTGATGGAGTAAGCGTCTGATTGTCTTTGAGCCAGTAATACCCTGGTTCTGGGATCTGAACGGTGGATCTGATCTGGCACATCAGTTTTACATCTCTCTCGCTGTTCACTTTTATGACCCTTGCTTTGTTTCCACTCTTTTCACGGATGTAAGGCACTGAAGAATGTGAGATATTTCAGTAAATTCCAGTTCTCCAATGATAAGATATTTAAAAGTCCTTTTAAATTCCTATAGTTCGTTTACATTTAAGTGCCTCTTAATCTTTATTTTGGGTACTGGATCAATCTTTGAATAACACTGGTTTAGCCCATGAGCGCGTGTAAGGAGGATGAGCAATATTTATAACAATAGCTATCGAATAGTCGATGGTATATGACTTGCACTTTTCACCAGCTGTAACCAGCTTACTATCCTCGACATCACTAAATAAATTTGCAAAGGTTCCCAGCTTGATATCCCTGGAATGCCTAACGTGGGGACCGGTCAATATTATTCGCGGGAGAGGGGGGTCGAGGAATTTTAGTTGTGTCACTAATTCCCCCATCCCCCCAAGGCTCTGTTGTGTTTTAATGATCCATTCCAGTGGCAGTCAGATTTCCATTCTCCCCCTTTTTACACTTTTAGCGACGATTTATATCTCCTCCGTTCCCCCTGAAAAGCCACCCAAAAAGATCCCTCCAAAATCCTCAGTCTGAATCCCCTTGTTCCTTCGCCTCCCAGGCGATAAATATAATGACCGGTCCCAGGAGAAAATAATGGTTCCATTTTTTCTTCCTGCTCCATGACAGAACTCAGGTGTTTGGGGCAATTGGTAAATGTGTTGCTTTTTCTCCTCTTAGTCGTTCAGTGGGTAATCGATCGGCTCTCGTGTTTTTTTGTTTTTTGGTGAATAAGGCGGAAAAACTTGCTGTCCGGTTTAAATAGATGAAATTTATTGATTGTCCAGCGGAGCTGTCGGGATGTTCAACATGACGAGGAAGGAAAAGGGCCCACGTGGGGGTGGAAGCGTGCTGTTTTCATTACCTTCCACCACCCTTTTAAGATTTACAAACATTGTTTCGCACTAATGTTGTTTAAAGTTCTGTTTAGCTTAGGATGTGAACCCAGACCTTGATCAACGAAATATCTATCACTGATAAATGTCTAGTTGCATCTATGGCGCAACATCAAGAAATTGCCGGTTTACCCAAAGCAACAATTTGCAAATGTGATTTCATTCGTCCACATCCGGTTTCCCAATTTCATCATGTTTGGGAAAATGTCCACAATGCATTCAGTTTCATCGGTGCAGCTTGAATAGGAAGAGTTAAAGTGACCCCACATGGCGCGTCTTCAGATTTTTAACTAGAATTTATTGCTTGAATTCCTACAAATGCCGCAGAGATGAAATTTTGGGCAGTCATTTTATATTTTTGTGATATAATGGTTCTGTTGGCAAGCAAGTTAAGTGAATTTTTTTTTTAGACGGGCTACCTAAGAGGCCATGATAGAGTTATGTATTTTGACATGACAACGTCCAACAATACAGAATCAATCGAACTCTCAAGGTTTTGTTTCACCTTAGTGTATTTACATGATCGTGTTCCATGAAATAACTATGGTTTAATAGATGGCGTTTAAAATCAGGAGAAATTTTAATGAGGTTCCCGTAACAACACGTAACAACATAAACCGCTTATTCCTGATTCACACCAACCTGAACATGCTTCCGTGTGATGATTATCCAGAGAGCCCAAGAAGGCAACAAGAATCGTTTTGAACAGAAGCGAAGTGAGCAACATGGCGATGAAATGATAACCTCCCTTGGCTGATTCCACTCCGGCGAATTGCTTCAGTTGTACCCTCTTCTAGAGCCCGTTAAGACCGCTAAGGAAAAAGAGATCATTGACCGTCGAAGATTTTAGAAAACCAAGCTACTGAGAGAGCAGAATTTGGGGCAAGATTACAAAGAAAGAAAATTCTATTTGCTTACCTGTTGTTCATGGAGAAACAAATAACTTTGCGCCGGATGCTACAGCAGCCAGCGGAAGTGACAACTTCCGTTGGATTCAGACTTTGGCTGATGACCAAGACCCTAAGGGCAAACATAATGTCAGTACTTCAAGGTTAATTGC